AGATTATGATTGAATGGTATTTTTTTTAACATTGTACTTTTTAAAACCAATTTCCACATATACTATATACAGTAAGTCCTCTCTCAATAAAGACGCCTGTGACTTTTTATTCCTTGTCAAGGAAATTATGTTGGATAGTGCCCCCCGGTCTGTCTCCGATTCTCTCTCTCTCCCCCACTCTCTCCCACTTTCGCTCTCCCCACACACACTCTTTCTCTCGCCACACTCTCTCTCCCAACACATACTCTCTCTCTCGCCACATTCACTCTCTCCCCACTCTCCTCTCTCTCTCTCCCCACACACACAATCTCTCTCTCTCGCCACACTCTCTTTCTCCCAACACACACACACACTCTCTCGCCACACTCACTCTCTCTCCACTCTCCTTCTCTCTCTCCCCCCACACACAATCTCTCTCTCGCCACACACTCTCTCCCAACACACACACTCTCTCGTCACATTCACTCTCTCCACACACTCACTCTCTCCCCACTCTCCTCTCTCCCCCCCCCCACACACACACTCTCTCTCCCCACACATACTCTCTCTCTCGCCACATTCACTCTCCCCACACTCACTTTCTCCCCACTCTCTCTCCCCACTCTCTTCTTCTCTCTCTCCCCAAATAGTTCGAATTTGCTGACCACATCAGGTGATCGTTTTGCGGCCCCAATGACGGAGAGTGAACTGAAATCTCTAATTGAAAGCCAGGAAAACATTAACACTAAACAAAACACTAGATGGGCGGTCAACGTTTTTGAGAAATGGCGAACCGGCAGATCCGAAACTATTCCAGAACTTCAATTCCAGGGCAGCGAGGAAATGAATTACTGGTTACAACGTTTTATAGTAGAAGCTAGACGGCAGGATGGTAAGGACTACCCCCCTAAGAGTCTGTACTGGATTTCATGTGGACTACTTCGTTTTTTGCGAGACAAAGGTGTGTACGATAAAAACTTTTTAGACGAAAAAAACACAACTTTCATTGAATTTCGGAAAGTTCTAGATGCAAAAATGAAGTCGCTGATTGAAAAAGGCATAGGGTGTACTACGAAGCAGGCTGATCCTATTTTACCAGAAGATGAGGCCAAGTTGTGGGATGCTGGAGTGTTTGGAAATAAAAATGCAGAACAACTTCAGAAAACGATTTTCTTTTACGCATGTAAAATCTTTGGTCTGCGTGGATGTGACGAACATCATAACCTAGCATGTGAACAGTTTACTATTGGATCAGATAAGCTGGGAAAATTTATTGAGTTTACGGGTCGAAAAACCAAAACGTACAAAGGTGGGCTCGGACAGCAACAAGACCATTAAACATCACTGCCAGTCCGGTAAGAGAATCTCTCTTTCTCTCTCTCTCTCTCTCTCTCTCTCTCTCTCTCTCTGTGAGGATGTACAATTACTCGTTCACTTTGCTTACAAATTTAAAATTTTCTTGTACGGGAGAGATGCATTGCTGACTATTTTGATATGTATCTGGATTCCCTTGGACGTCGAGGAGCATTCTATCGAAGACCTCTGCCCGCAGCATCTGAGGTGCCAATTCGATACGGAAATCAGGTCGTGGGAATTAACAAGCTGAAAAACTTCATGCGAATCATTTGCACGGAAGGTGGTTTACAGGGTAATTATTCGAATCATAGCGGCAAACGTACTTGTACGACCCAGCTATATATGTCTGGTGTTGAGGAGCAGCAGATAATGGATCGGACTGGTCATCGTTCTCATGCAGGTGTCCGTAAATACAAAAGATCCAGTGTGCAAATGGAAGCTAACGTGTCAAAGATCTTGGATCCGCCGAAGGAGTGTACCGAGAATTCCACTCCGATGAATTCTCCAGAAGGATGCGTTCCAGATATTTCAGACAAGTGCCCCGCTATTCCACTGACTGCAGCAAACGTCCAGGGTGAGGAGGAACCTCAGAGCAAGAGATTCAAACCGAACAGATTCCCGTTTGGAGAATTTAAAAATTGTAACATCACATTTCAGTTTTAAAGTGAAAATTTCACAAAGGTCAATTACTAGCCAGATAGATTGTTAAATTACTCAAACCCATTTTTTTAGAATTGAGGTTTTTTGTATTTTTTTGTTTCAACTTGCTTGTAAGAATTGTACAAGGACATCAAATTTAATTGAAAGGTGTTTTTTGGAGAGAAAAAAAAGCTATACAATGGTTGATTAAAGGATAAATTTTGTGAGGATTTGATTTCTTTTCTTATCTTACAATAATTCTAAAATTATTGTACGGTACAATATTACCACGCACCCTTTGATACAGTGCAATAACTTGCAGTTTCTAAAGTTATTGTACGATGGTAGGCCACGCCTACCTGGGAATAGAACTGGTATTGGACATTACAGTACACTAATCATCAAAGAAAATACGCCGCATAAGTGCCACAAATAGGAAAAAAGATATATTACCTTCTTTTAATGATCGAATTATCAGTACATTTGGTTGTTAGAACATTATATTCTTGATGCTAGGTTCAAAGTGGGACTAAAATATTAATACATTGAAAAAGTATTACAACTTTGTAAAAAATATTTTCAATAGGTTAGAGATTATAATGACATACATAATTATGTATATGGAGATCACGAACAGTATTCAAACTTAAAAGTCCACTAAACACCAAAAATTCAGAGTCTAAAATAATGGCCTAACAATTACAATGAGAAACACCAGCCAGCATTTGATTCAATGATAAATTGCATTTGCTGATAATGTCACTGTATGGACACTACATGTAGAACTGACAATATAATGACTGTAACTGTTATCATTCCCCTTGTTTCACCAACTTTCTTAAAATTACTCATATTAAAAATTGTTCATACAAAGAGCATGCGCTTGCGTATCGAATCAGCCGAAAGATATGAACCTCGTGTGCAGATGATGAAAATAAATTGCTGCATGTAAATAAGTAATAAAGGATGCAAGGGAAGCTGATGATATGAATGTTATAGCCATCACGTTAATCATTTTTAAAAGTTGTCTGCAGGATTACAATTAATGTCTTTTTCTAATAAAATGTCCAAATACAAAACAGGTGTGTCAGACTATGTGGTATCTGAAGTTTTATTCAAGCTCATCGGGATATATCGTATCGACATAAGAATGGAAATAACTATTATAGTGAAATAAATTGATAATACGTCGTCGATATCTTTATTTCGAGTGTAAGGCCACAGCAAGTGTTTTCAACTTTTCATGTTTAAGACTTTGGACAAGTTCTGCTTCATAATTATGAACACAAAATCAAGTCTGCTAATAACAGGGACGAAATTCGATAGCAAAAATTCAATGAGCATCTGAATGACAAGGCTACATGTTAAATCTGGCGGCAGCTTGGACTTTCAGTGGGTGTCATATAGGCGTATACTATAATTACTTGAAACAAAGTTTACTATATATTCGTACTTAAGAAAGTGTTCGCAGCTAGATAGAGGACAACCAATTTTCCTTTGGATTGATTTGTACAAACACTTCTTCCTATAATCAAAGGGTAAAGGTGTATGTCATCTTGTTTGTCAGCAACATCTATCAGTAGGAATAAGTGCAATGTAGGAAAAAGCCCTCTACCAGTGAAATATGGAGATAACAAACAGTGCTTAAGCTCAAAATTCACTTAAACAAATGAAAACAAAACAGGAGCAGAACAATCATGAACCTCCAAAAAACCACGGGGGTGGGCAAATGCCATCGAGATGTAAGCATTCCCTGTCGACTGGTGACGCCGGCCATGTCATGATCGTGTAAAGTAAAAATCAATGTGTATAAATAATGACCTTACAACTACAATTGGTCAGTCAGCATTTGACCAAATGAAAGATCGTATTTGTTGACAAGGTCATAATGTACCAAACATCATGGTTCCTTTTGGTTCCTGGTGGTACACAGGGCCTCGGCAACAGTTCTCCATCGCACCCTGTTTTGGGCAGCCTTTTTCGGTTGTTCCCAGGTATGTCCACATTGCCTGATCTCCTCTTCACATGACCTTCGCCAAGTTTTCCTGGGACGCTCAACTCCTTGGGGGTTCCACTGTGTGGAGTGTAATGTCTCCTGATGGTTTTCGGAGGGTATGTGCAATTCACCGCCACTTTCTATGTGCTATTTGTTTAGTGATTTTGTCTTGATTTGCTGTTTCCCACAAGTTCTTGTTGTTTATAGTTTCTGGCCATCTGATGTTTAGTATGTGGCGCAGACATCTGTTTGCGAAGGTTTGTAGTTTGTTGAAGGTGGTGTTGGTGACTCTTCATGTTTCAGACCGGTAGAGGAGCACAAACTTAACATTGGTGTTATAGATCCGGATTTTTATGCGTGTGGACAGTGCTGTTGAACTCCACACAGACTTGAGGGTGATGAAGACGTGTCTTGCTTTATTAATTCTTGCTTTTATGTCTTCATCTGTTCCACCAGTGGCTGTGACGATGCTGCCCAAGTATGTAAAGGAGTCTACATCTTTAAGGTTGTGCTCTCCAAGCGTTACTGGTGTTTGCTGTTTGTTGTGGAGCTGCATTACCTGTGTCTTTTCGATGTTCACCTTTAGACCTGCATGTCTTTGCTGCTTCTTTTGCAAGCGTATTTGTCTTGAGCTGCATATTCTCATACTTCTGAGACATGAGGCATAGATCGTCTGCAAAGTCGAGGCCTTCCAAACACTGAGTGAAAGTTCATCACTGGACTCCTTTCTTACTATTATCTTTAGTTGTCTTCTGCATGACCCAGTCCACTACAACTAGAAAAATCATTGGTGACAGTAAACAGCCTTGTCTTACCTCTGTCTGCACTTCAGACGCTTCCGTAAGCTTTCTATTGTGGATAACTTGGCATGTTGCTTCGTCATACAATTGTTGTATGAGGTTGATAAAGGTAGGAGGCGTTCCATAATGCTGTAGCAGTTACCAGATGACTTTTCTATCAACACTATCAATGGCCTTTTCAAAGTCTATGAAGTTCAGATACAGTGTTGACTGCCACTCCAGTGACTGTTCGATTATTATACGTAGAGTGGTGGCGATCTGTACAGGACTTGTCCTTTCTAAAGCATTTCTGGGAGGCATTAGCAGAATCTGCAGGTGTTATACATGAACTTAAATGTGGAAAGTGGACGATTGAAAAATTGAAGTCATCACAATCGTGATGTTTGGGTGTAGGTTACCATTAATTTCTTTATCCAGTAAATATCCAAATATGAAACAGATGTGTCAAACTAAATTGTTTTTAGTCTCAAGTTTACTGGGATATATCGAAATGACATATGAATTAAAGTAACTATTGTTTATTGAAACTAGTAATACTTCGTCGGTATATCAATTATTTTAGTTAAAGGTCCCATAAAGTGCTTTCTTTTTTCTCGAGTACAAGTTTTTCAAAGACATTTGCTTCATATGAACACAAAAATAGGTCTACTAATAACGAGACTCATTTGGTACCCATGTGAATAGAATATTGGAAGACCTGATATCCAAAAACTACATACTATATTTTGTCAACCAGAAACTCAGAATCTTTTTAATATCAATTTTTAAATATTTATGTGTACAACTTTAAGTTAAAAAGACGTTATTAACAAGGTGTTTAATACCAACTGTAATCATACAGTCTACCTTTTAAGCGTCCATGAAAACTGTAGACGGTAATTCATAAATGCCATGTATGAACAAGTATGAACAACGTAGCCCCATCCAAGACATCTGGACCGTACGACAGCAGTAAGGAATTTCATATCTTTTGTGTAGAGTAGGTATTAATTATTATCAAGGAAACTGTTTGTCTGTTAGGTGCCCATGGGTACAAAAGATTTTCGAGTATGTAAGGTTAGTATTCAAAGGTTTCTTAGTATGTAAGGTACATGTGTTTTTAATATATGCCCAAATGAGCCCATTCCTAGGCCTGAAACAATGAACACACAGTCATCATTGAGCTATAAATACCACAACTTTGTAGACGAGAATGTTTAGTGTTCATCATAAATATGAAAATGGTTTGCTTATCAGATGAGCACAAGGAGAGAAGGTACCACAAGATACAATCGTTTTTTTTCAATGTATAACTAACTTTACCCCTGCAACGGAATCCTAGGGTCATGGATGTCACAGTTCTAGTAATGGGTTTAGTGTTTATTATGTCAACGATTTTCCTTTTTCTAGTAGATATACCGGTATGTTTTGAAATTTTTAAAGGTTTCTGTCCTTCTCTGAGGCACCAAGGAGACAATATCGATAAAATTAATATTTTTTTTCCATTTGCCCTCAGATTAATCAGCAAAATTAATTGAATGTGTTGTAATTTTTACAAAAGCTCAGAAGTAAACAAAAGACCCACAAAACCAGACAATGGACAAAAACATAATATACTAATACATGAGTGTCTCATGTCACCTACTTTTTTGAAAGTTAACTAAACAAAGTTTCTTTCAAGCAGTGTGTTAATGTTTGTAAAACATTTTAACAACTAACACAAATAACATACTGTAAACGTATTAATTTACATTTAGCGGTGTATTCTATTTAGCGATTTTGGCGGAAAGCAGAGTCACATCGCTGTCTTGTATAGCACGCTTTTATGTCTTGCACATTCAGATAGCGCTAAATCAAATCCACGCTAACTTGCTGAAAATTGAATTTCCACCAAATATCGTACACACCAAATATAATACATTTACAGTATTTCTGGACTTAATTTTTGAATCAGTAGAATTTAGATAAAACAAATAAAATCCAAAGAAAATTAAGAAATATATCCTCTCTACAGCTGTATATTCATTTCTGTATTTCAATTCTACAGTATTTTTTTTCTAATTTTTTTTTTACAGATGTTAAAATCAAAATATTTTGATGTCAAAACAATTTATGTTTAATAGTATATAAAAGAATACACATATGATACAATATAAAACATGGCATACATTCAAATAATGAAAAGTATTACAGTCAAGCTTTTTTGGCAACAGATTATGCATGATTTAATTAACAATAAGTTTGCATTTAATTAGGTACAAAAGCAGTAAAAAATTGTCATGTTTTCTGATTTCAGTGTATGTCTTTTTAAGCACAACGACAACGGCTTGAGCAAACTTTACATATCTGAAACCCGGATGTCTTGGAGAGCTAAAACTGACAATGCACCAACACACTGTTTGTACAGGAACTAATAAGTTTCGCTACGTCTGTGTTTACACTTTACAAGGAAATTATTTCTGTTATGATCCATCCTGGTTGATAAAGCTAAAACAAATCTCCTACACTGTATATGTTATGAATAAAATTAAAAATAAAATCTTCCCCTTAAGTAGGTGGATCTAAACTCTTCTTCTTATGCAGTTATACATACATGTATTTCCACATTACTACACTTCATCGTTAATTATGCACTTGTATTATGTAAACTGCAGTGGACACTGAAATCTATGAGTTTATGAGTAATGTTTGAGCTTCTTTGTAGAAATGCTTCTTTTATAGCAGGAAGTTGGTTTGTTATGTCCAGTTCAACACTTCACCACAACAAAGAATTCAACTCCTTTCCCCTTTGCCTTAAATTCTTGTGGTGGTACATTAGTATGAAGTTATGAAGGGATACATTAATGGTGTATTTGAGCTCTATCTTCTTCTCATTTGAACTTCAGAAAAATCTATATCATCCTCATCCTCAAAGTCCCACTGATTGGCCTTTTTAATAGTTGCTACTGCTGTTACTATGGACGCCGCTATGGTGACAATTCCCGCCAAAATGCAAATTCCCCAAGGGAATCCTAGTGTCTGCAGGTCGGGTTTTAGATTGGTAGTCAATTCTTTGTGCAACGCTACAAATACTATTGCACCTCCAAGTATAAATAAACCTGAAAGAGAATTTTAGAAATACATGTTACTAAACAACAAGTTCATAAATTATTAGCAAAACATTTCATGAAAATATGCATAAATTTACCAATGAATAAACATTTGAAACTTCTCTCCTATCAAAGATTTGATCAATTTTCCAAGCAAATGTTTATATGAACATTAAAACATAATTATTAATTGTACCTTATTTGTTTTTCGTACATTTAGTATAAGATATTACAAATTTAAAATACTGTACTTACTTGAGGCGCCCAGAAGGTAAATAGAGGCAGATCTGTTACAGTCGTATCTTATACACATGTATAGGAGATGGAAAATTAAGGACAGGAAGTTCAGCAGAATTCCGAAGGCACCAAAGGCACGGGATATAAACAGCCATTCTGAAAATTGTCAAAACACAGAAGGTTATAAAGAGTCAGTAATCATTGTAATTTAAATTTATTGATAAGATAAGTTTGGGCCCTTTCTTTGATAAGACTGTCAAAGATACCTCTCATCAATGATAGATACGATTTCTTGAAATAGAACACTAATTTTATTTTCTTTACTTTCTCATATATATAATTTTGTTGGTGACCATTTTAGTAACATTTTAGAGTGCATCTTGAAATATGGAGATTATGAACAGTGATCAAGCTTTTAAACTCCATTGTAGAAAAACCCATAGAGAGCTAGCTGAGCAAAAAGGAACTTTTAAAACATCATAGAGGAGTGAGAGTCCCCTGTTTACGGGTAATACCTGCATTAGAAAATTCAGTGTAGATAATGGCTTAATATTATATAGCAAGTAAAACGTCAGTTAGCATTCGACTTTATGATAGATAAGTCTTGCTGACAAGGTCTTTGTATCCAACATACATTTTTAGAACTCGAAATGATGATTTTTATCAAAACAGTTGAAATCCTTTTTTTCATCAAATTGTTCATCAATAGCTTGTCTCATTTTAGGAATTGTTGGTAATTAGAGTACACTCTTGTGTATTGAATCAACTGTGTGGCATAAAAACTCCGTAAGCAGGTGATCATATATTTCTACATAAATGAGGAAAGCTGTGGAAAGACAAATCATAAAGTTTTGTTTGAGGCTCCGATTAATGTCTTTTTTATGGTAAAAATCTTAATATAAGTTATACATTGTATGTGTCAGACTCTTTAAGTGATATATCACATCAACATATGAATGCAAGTAAGACTATTATTAATTGATAAATCATAAATCGTCATCGATTTATCTAAATGTAGCTTTGAATACAACAGCAAGTGTTTTCTTCTTCTTCTCGTGAATTAGTTTTTGAAAAAAAAAAAATTCAAGGTTGGCGGCCACGCCATAATAAGCTTTTCTAGGGGAACTTGACTTTTTTTTAAAATATAACTTAATGATTGAAATTCAGTCTGTCTTGTATAGTGTTCTTCTGGTAAAGATCAATTCAGAATTCCCTTCTCACATAGAAAATCTCATTAGTGTTACAAACATTTCTATGCCAACCATGCATGTAAGAACAGAAAGTTTACACAGTATTGAAGCTACAAGGTGTCATTATAATAATCATATAAATAAATAACGAGGGAAGCTTGGCTGTACCTAATGTTTTAGTCTGATAAGAAATGCTTAGTAAATAGACTATGCGAATATATTCACAAGAAAGATGGTTCGTATAAGCGTTTTTTTTTTCTTCAAATACTTGTATTTTCTCTGGATAAAAAATATTATAAGGTCAAGGACGGTAAAATGAAGACAGCTGCTGGGAGAAGCTTTAGATTAGGCAGATAACCTCAATTTCTGGTTGTTTTAGGACCCGTGTAAAGGGGATCTTTTCTATAACATTAACTACTTAGAGGAACATGATCCCGCTCATGTTAACATCACAAACATTCCTGAAATACTTTGCTCCATAGAAGAGCAAGATGAAAAACTGTTCTAAAATCTAGCTTATCCCCTTTGATCTAAGACATCGTTTTATACATGTATGTCTAATTACGTATTTGTACATTATGGCTAGATATATAATTGAGATGGAAGTAAGATTGTGATCCACTTATTTTTTCCGTCTTATTATAGTTTGACATAAGATTTTGTACATGTATTTATTTGAATGTCGCTCAATAAGGAAGACACCAGCATATCTGATGATAAAGTGGCTTTAATTTATTCCATGAACATAGTGAAATATGAGAGTGCAGGCTCTACATGTATACATAAATTCTGAGGACAGAAATTT